ACTATCCAAAAATTAACAAGGAACCAATACTAGTTCATAAGTCAATATCCACAGAGATGGTTAACATCTAAAAAAATACCGTTAGTAAACTAGCAAACACACCATTAAATTATCCTCACTCGCAATGAAAGGAATAAGAAAAGCTCCACAAACACCACTAGAGAACTCTCACTTTAGTAAAAGAAAAAACCAAACAAAGCCCTCAGTAGCTTGTCACCTCTAAGCTTACATACCTCTAGCCAAAGAATGAAAGAAAGTAAGAGTCCGCACCGCTGCCCTGGCCAGTGTTGCTCAGTGGATAGAGCGTCAGCCCGCGGACCAAAAGGTCCCGGGTTCGATTCTGGTCAAGGGCATGTACCTTGGTTGCAGGCTCCCGGCCTGGGCCCTGATCAGGGCTCCTGCAGGAGGCAACCAATCCATGTGTTTCTCCCACATCAGTGTTTCTGTCTTTCCCTCTCTCTTCCACTCTCCCTAAAAATCAATGGGAAAATATCTTCGGGCGAGGATTAACAAAAAACAAAAACAAAACAAACAAAAAAAGTCGGCACTGCCCAATGGGATCCGGCCTCCGTGTGGCAGGTGTACCTGAGAGAAGAATTCTTAGAGGAAGGGAAGGGAGGCACCGAGTCGGGTTCTGTGTGCGTTATACCATGAAGGCCGGATGATTGAGAGATTTATGCACATTGTTTGGCAAAGTGCCCGCCTCGTGTTATAGATGTAAGAATGTCCAAACCTGAGAGAAGCTTTATAAAAATGTATTTGAGCCAAACAGAAGATACAACTGAAAGCAAGATCTCAACAGACTTGGAAAAATGCTTCCAGCCCTCCCAGCGTTTAGACTACCAATGGGTAGGCTGGCCCTGGGTGAGCAATAATGCCAATGAGTCAGCGTCAGCTGGGAAGCCACATTGGCTGGGATTGGCCCAGCCTCAGAGAGGGCGCTGAGGGTCCCTAACGGGGAGTAGAACTGGGGACACAACCAGGACACTAACATTGGGTAAAGAAATGCAGGTGGAGTTCCCACATATGGGGAGGCATAAGGATGGGGCAATCACCCTACAGAGATGAACGGGGTCAGTGAGCGTGTGTCCACGCCAAGAGAGTTGGAAAGAAAAGCGGCATCATGAGGGCCCCGTGTGCAAAGCCCTGATGTCACACTTAGGGTCCCACAGACCTGCCAGTGGGCTCTGGAAGACATGACCTGAAAGTGTCTGAAAACATCCCAGGCGGATACAGTCATGTTGAGTGTAACCAGGCTCCTGTGGTGGCCTCAAGCTGCTGATGACAGTTTGGAGCCAAGTCCAAGAAGGTGGCACTCAAGATCCAACTGGAGATAGGTTTCATGGAGACAGAAAGACAGTTCTGGAGTGAGTTGGCCAGGAGATGCCTGCCAACCCTGCATGGTCTGCGACAGTGCTGGCTGCTGGTGAGAACTCTGGGATGAGTCAGGCTGGACAAGGAGTTGGGGGGACTGAAGACCAAAGATGAGGCAGGGCCAGAACCTCAGAGGTGGCTCCCTTATGAGATGAGGCTGAGAACAGGATTTGTCATAGCGAGGTTGTGCTCAGTGTCTTGGGCCAGGAGGCTGCAGGCAGGATGCATGGTGGCTTCATGGTGGAGGGGGTCTCCAGCCTACTCAGCACTGGCACAGCAGGGATGGCCGCCTCTCCAGCTCCGGGGTCTAGGAGCATCGGGGCCTGGCTGGGAAGGAGTGGTGGCCATGAACAGTGCCGGCTACAGAGTGGAAGGCGATGAAACAGGCCGGGTGCAGCAGCCTCAGCACTGCCCACAGAAGTTATGCCACCAGCGTCCCCTCCTGTTACCCACACTGGTGAGGAAGGGCCAGAAACCAACTAAACTTGGAGGAAACGAGGGGCCAGGAAGACATCCTTCCCCCAGGAAAGTAGGACCCAAATCCTTTCCCTGGAACTCAAGTGCCAAAGGCAGACAGGAGCTGAGCCCTCCCCTTGACCCACGCTGCCTTTTCTGAGCCTTCGTTCTATGTGCGTGGGACTTCAGCAATGCTGTCTGTGCTGCTGTGAATTGCTGGTATTTGCTGCTTTGCTTTCCTTCAAGATTCTAAATTCCCTGAAGGGGAAGTTCTGGAATGCTCTTGCGCTCCCAGACTTGGTTATTGGAATTAGTCTGAAGGATGTGCTCTCCTGAGATATGACTGCAGGAAACACCGTCCTGGTCTTCCTTTCTTACTGTTGTTTTTTTTTTTTAAGTTAAAAGAAAAATATATGCTCATTAAGTGTGATTTGGAAAGAGAACCAAGAAAACCCTCAAAGTTTTCCAATCGAAAGATTGTTTTCCAAAAATTCAAGCCATGTTCCATTTTGATAAACGCTAACAGGACAGTGAGTGCCACACAGGGCTCGTTGCGGGGAGGACGTAATGATTCTCCACGGTGATTCTCCACAGGATGGGATCTGCCTGGTTCCTTTGGGCGGATCCTTTGGGCAGAGCTATGGATCTCTCACACTTGACCAGAACTTATTTGTAATCTCAGTCTGAACAGCCCTAAGCTTTGCTGCTTCTTTGGTTCTCCCTCTGGGACTTGTGCTTGCGATCATGCCTCTCAGCGAAACACAGTGAGCTCAAGGGAGCAGACCCCGCTCACGTTTGCCACGGCTCCCTCTCCATGCAACACAGACCTCTCCTCAGCCTGCCTAGGAGAGGCCTCTGTGCCACTGTCTCCCTGGACCTTCTCCAAGTCTCCTGGGTTCTTGCAGAAGTTGGGGAATCAGACGTGTAGGCAGCATCTTAGGATCAGACAAGCCACAGCTGGAGTGTAAGGGTCAGAGAGCCATATTCTGTGCCTTGCTGAACTGGGGACAGCCCCAAAGTCAGCATATTTATATCATTGTCCCTCTTCTCTTTGGAGTGCAGGCCCTGATGTATTTAAAAGACTATAAAAGGCAACTAGAGAATGTGTTCAAAGATCTGGAAAATCAGTGTCTCCGCCCCCCCCCCCCCATTTCATTTGTTGAAGTCCCAACCCCCAGCTCACCCGGCATAGGGACCCAGCAGGGATCTCAGTGGAAACAGGGTCTTTGCAGATGTGATGAAGATGGAAGTTAAGAAGGGGGCACACTGGAGTGAGGTGGGCCCTTACTCCAATGCGGCCAGTGTCCTTTTCAGAGGAGCAGCACACAGAGCCAGACACACACAGAGGAGAATGCCATGTGAAGACAGACACACGGAGGGCAAACAGTCATGTGACGATGGAGTCGGAGACTAGAGTTACGCAGTTAGAGGCCAAGAAACAGCGAGGACTGCAGGCAGAAACCAGGAGCTCGGGGAGAGAGCGCGGCCCTGCTGACACCTTGAATTTGGACTTCTAGCCCCCAGCACTGTGAGAGAATACGTTTCTGTTGGTTGAGCCATTACTTTATGGTACTTTGTTATTGCAGGCCTAGCAGACTGCTACACAGAGGGAATACAGTGCACCCCACTACTTTGAGGGGGCAGTATAGAAATGAATTGTAAAACCTGAAGTGTATAGCAGTAAACTTTATGACTTGGGTTGTCCTATGTCATAAGTTTATAAAAACGCTTCAAGTTTAAACTATACACATCTTTCACACATCCCCGAAATTTACCTTGATCAGCTCTGGTAAAAAGAAAAAAATAGTAGTGGCACATTAACTTTCCCAAATTAAGTTGGCTATTCCCTAACTTTAAATGTCAGAATGTAAATGTCAGCAGGCTCATTGCCGAGTCCCCTCCCCAACCCAAAGCCCGTGGGAAGAAAATGCCAATCTCCCTGATAAATATGACCAGGCTGTTTAGCAGAAATACATCACACGTGGTTAGTAGTTAATCTAGGGCTTATCTCCTGGCAACTACACATCAAGAAGAAGACCATTTAGGAAAATGAAATTATATTCAATCCTACTTTCTAAAGGTTGTATCAAAAGAAACTTTATCTCAGCTTTTTATAGGATTAGTCAATAAGCTCCAATCTATCGATCCTAATGAAAATTTAGGGGGGAAACTCTTGAATCACTTCATCATATCTGAAACAACTTACAACTATAGGAAGCATCTGCCTCCTTTAAATCTCAGCGTAAGTCACTGCTCTCACCTACTAAGAACAACGCTGGTGAGGCAGGTCCTGGGCTCTCTGTTGTCCCTAATGAAATGGAGAGTAACAAAGCCATCCTGGTTAATAAAAATTACTAGTAATAAAACTTTGTTCAACTGTGACATATCAAGGCATCATGGTATTTGCCAGCTTTTATAAACAATCAGCATATTAGAAAGCCAGAGTTGGAAGGATGTAGAATGTGGGTCGGGCCCTCTAGGTCCCTCCTGCCCCTCTCAGAAAGCCAGAACGCCATGCTAAACACATACTGCACAAATGAAGCAGGTGTCGTGCCAGGTGTGGCCCAGGGCTTCGATGAACTTGTCACCGGCCTCCACAGGGAAATCGCAGCCGTGGCACTTGGTGCTGAACAGAGTGATGTAGTCTGAAACGAAAGGCAGAGTGAGGACCCGCAGCCGGCAGCGAGGAGGAGCGTCCCGGCCAGGGCCAGGGCAGTGGGGGAAACCCAACGGGTTACTTGTCATCTTGCAGACGAAACACTCAGTTACAAGATTTATTTTTTCCTTTTCCATTAAGAACTGGAATCGTGCAGGCTGAGGCTTAGTTAGCACCCTGTGCCTGTTTGACTTGCAAGCACTTTCTCAAACTCTCATTCACTTTCTGCAGCTGAGCTTCTCCTCTGTCTCTGTCCCCTCTTATAGCCAGACAGACAGTCACAGAAAAAGGAAAAAATTTCTCAGCAACTCTGCTTATTTCGGAAGAATGAGAGCCCTTAACATTTTTAATAGCTATAGGCTGTTCTTTGCTTGGTCATTCTTCTGTTATTGGGCATTTGTTTTAATAGCAAATTTTCACTACTGGAAACAATAATTGAGCTACTTTGTTGGGACATGTACCCTTTCCCCCACCGGACCCCCCGCCCCGCCGCCGCCAAGAAGATAATAACAAATATTATTTGTATAATGCTTTATAGTTTACCAAGCATTCTCAGTAGATGACACTATTTACTGATATCTCAGTGTCAAAGTCTTTGTACTCCCAGCTCATTGCCTGGTGCATATATGTGTTGAATGAATGAGTGAATGGATGAATCAATGAATCAATAAATCAATGAAGTTAACCTTTGTGAAATCCCTCGAAGACTGAACTATCATTGTTTTTCTGTTTGGTTTGGTTTGACTTTGTGGCTGAGGAAACGGGATCAAAGAGGGAAGGGCCTCGCCAGAGTCCACGGCTGAGACCCCAGGGCCAGGCCCTGTGCATCTCGGCCACAGGAGCCGGGCTCTGGGACCGGGGCAGCAACCCCACTGCGCACGGGGGCACTCTCCCAGGTTCTCTAGAAAACCCTGACGGCTGCTATGAAGCCTTCGTTTCCCCAGAGCTGTCTCCACAGCGCTGCCCAGTGGCTTTTCCTTTTGGCGGCTTTCTGGACAGTAGCCTGTGGACAGTAGCCGTGGGGGTTATGACTTTGGGTTCTGAAGAAAGAAAAAGCCGGGTTCAAATCCCAGCTTTATTAAGGAATTGTTCAAACCTGAGGTAAGTTGCCTGACTTCTCAGTGCCTCTACTTTCTCATCTATCTAGTGGGAATAACTACAGCACCTAACTCGTGGCGTTGTTATAAGAATAAGTAAGATCATGTATGTGAAGGACTTGGCACAAAGCCTCAAAATGTTGGCTCTTATTTTGAGTGTCTTTGTGAGTGATGAGAGGAGGGGAGGGAACTGGTTCCGCTATTAGTCCGCTGCTAGTGCTTCTCTGCGTGTCTTGTTTGATCTTCACAGCAGCTCTGAGAACAAGTATGATTCCCATGTTAAAGACCAGGAGTCTGGCTGCAGAGGTTCCATCACACAGTGGAGGAGCGCGGTGGATTGACCCCGTTCCATGACTTCGGGCTGTCTCCAGTGACCTATCTGCCATTGAGCTTGGTAAGTTCCATCTCTTGCATATTTTCCAATGTATAGTCTCCCTTTTGGGGTTTAATTTAGTTTGACATGCAAATGCTTTTACATATATTGCAGTCTGTCAACCTTGTTTCTGACCAAACATTTAATTTGTTCAGTAGACAGAAATCTATCACCACACCAGAACTAGGAAAACATTATTCTGCTTCCTTCAGGAACACAGCAGGTTCTGGTTCACTCACTGCTCTGTAGGAAGTTATCAATGTGGGATGAGAAACAGGGCTATAGGCCACCATCTCCAAACCCTGCACCCACTCCTAACTTCTCTCTTCTTACTCCCCATTGGTCTCCAGATGCCCTGGGCTCTGTCCTCCACCTCCACGCCTCTGCATGGACCAGGACCAGGCTTGGAACACCCGCCTCACTTTGTCTGCCTGGACCCCTGACATTCTTTGGGCCATGCCTTCCTTTTGGGGAGTCGTCATCCCCAAACCCGCCAAGAAATATGAGATGGCCTTCTGGAGGCTTCTCCTGGGCTTCCCTTCCTATTCACTCACTCATTCATTCATTCATTCATCTCTTAACTGTCCACTGATGTGTTGGCATCTCATAGATGATAGGTCTTCTTGAGGTGTTCGAGCGCAGAGCTCCCCCGCCCCATGCTCAGCATTTTGCACAAGAACTGGCACACATTTGATGGATAAATGGTTCAAAAAAACCTTATTAAATAGTAATTCCTTCTCTTGTGAAACCAATGATTTTTCATAGATTAATCTCTTAAAATAGCTTGATTTTATTTTTGGGGTGTTTAGTCTATACTATTGATTGATTTTTCTGTTTTAAACTTAATTCTGTATGACCTGGAGAACTGCTAATTTGCTTTAAAATTTGGTAGCACTTGCCTAGCCGATGTAGCTCAGAGGCAACCAGTTTGATTCCAGGTCAGGGCACAGGCCCAGGTTTCGGGCTCAATCCCCTCTGAGGGGCATGCAGGAGGCAGCTGATTGATGATGTTTCACTCTTGTCAATGTTTCTATCTCTCCCCTCTCCTTTCCTCTCTCTAAAAAAAAAAAAAAATCAATAAAAACATATTTTTTAAAACATTGTAGCACAGATCTGACCCTAATACATTTTTTAAAAAGCTGATATTTTCCTCATTTATACTACAAAAGCAGAACATAATCCATATGAATTAGCTTATACATGGGCCTTCCCCCAGAAGCATAATCTAGTTCCTCATTTATTAGGTTGTTACAATATTCTTTGACTAACTCTCATCTGCCCCAACCTGAATTCATACCCTGTATTTAATGGGCTTATTGCTATTGTAAAAGGATTTCCATCCATCAAATCACATGCTCTGAGTTGAAAAATGGTTTAGTGCTTTATCAGACAATGGTTCTCACACGTCAGAATCATCTGGAGGTTCATTAAAGCACAGATTGCCAAGGACTGTAAGAAAATACTATGAACTATATGCCGACAAGCGGACAACCTGGTTGAAATGGACAAACTCCTAGAAAATACAATCTTGTAAAACTGAATCAGGAAGAATCAGAAAACTTGAATAGGCTGATAACTACTGATGAAATTAAAGCAGTAATCAAAAAACTCCCAGCAATCAAAAGCCCAGGTCCGGATGGCTTCACAAGGGAGTTTTACCAAACATTTAAAGGAGAACTAACACCAATACTCCTCAAACTATTACAAAAAAATTCAAGAGGAAAGAACATTTCCAAGCTCTCTTTGTCCTAATTCCAAAACCAGGTAAAGACACTACAAAGAAAGAGAATTACAGGCCAATATTCCTAATGAACATAGATGCTAAAATCCTCAACAAAATAATAACAAATCGCTTCCAGCAATATATTAAAAAGATCATACCCCATGACCAAGTGGGATTTATTCCAGGGATGCAAGGCTGGTACAATATTTGCAAATCAAAAAACGTGATACATCACATGAACAAACTGAAAGACAAAAATCACACAATTATATCAATAGACATAGGAAAAGCATTTGACAAAATCCAACACCCATTTTTGATAAAAGCTCTCAGCAAACTTGGAATAGAGGGAGCATACCTCAACATAATAAAGATCATATATGACAAACCTACAACCAACATCATACTCAATGGGCAAAAACTAAAAGCATTTCCCCTAAGAACAGGAACAAGACAGGGACGTCTGCTTTCACCACTCTTATTCAACACTAGAGGCCCAGTGCATGGAATTCGTGCATGGGGGGGTATCCCTCAGCCCGGCCTTTACCCTCTCCAATCTGGGACCCCTCGGGGGACATCCCCCTCATAATCCGGGACTTCTGGCTCCTAACCATTCCCTTGCCGTCCTGATCCTCCCCTAACCACGCCCATGCCTGCCTGATTGCCGCCTAACTGCTCCCCTGCCAGCCTGATTGCCCCCAACTGCCCTCCCCTGCCAGCTTGATCACCCCAACTGCCTTCCTGTGCCGACCTGATCGCCCCCTAACTGTCCTCCCCTGCTGGCCTGATTGCCCCTAACTGCCCTCCCCTGCTGGCCTGATCACCCCCAACTGCCCTCTCCTGCCGGCCTGATTGCCCCCTAACTGCTTGTTCCCCCGCACCAGCCTGATCTCGCCCCTAACTACTTGTTCCCCCACACCAGCCTAATCTTGTCCCTAACTGCTTGCTCCCTTGCCAGCCTGATTGCCCCTAACAGCCCCTGCCTCGGCCCCTGCCACCGTGGCTTTGTCCGGAAGGAAGTCGGACTTTGGGAAGATGTCTGGTTGATCTGGTCTAATTAGCATATTACCCTTTTATTAGTATAGATAGCACTGGAAGTCCTAGCCACAGCAATCAGACAAGAAAAAGAAATAAAAGGCATCCAAATTGGAAAGGAGGATGTAAAACTCATTATTCGCAGATAACATGATATTGTACACAGAAAACCCTAAGGACCACCAAAAAAACTATTAGATTTAATAAATCAATTTGGCAATATAGCAGGATAAAAAATTAACACCCAGAAATCAATGGCATTTTGATACACCAATAGTGAACTCACAGAAACTAAAAAACAATCCCATTGACCACTGCAACAACACAGTTAAGATACTAGGAATAACTTAACCCAGGAGGCAAGAGACCCGCACACATTGCTGGCCCCACCCCTCAGAGCTTCTGATTCCACAATGTTGAGGTGGGGCTGGAACCCGCGTTTCTAAAAGGTTCCGGGTGATGTTCAAGTTGCTGGTGGGACTGCACTTGGATCCCCAGACCTAACTGCATATAAAATCACCTGGTCGGGGAGGGCACCCCACGAATTCGGCTTCTGGAGGTTTGGGAATTTATTTTCTCTGTCTCTTTAAAAGTCCCCCAGGTGACGAAGCCCGGCCAGGCCCGGGCAGTGCTCAGGTGCAGGCCAGTCTGGGAGGCCTGACTCACACCTGTCTCACTCACGCGCAAGCTGTTGCACAGAGTGTCAGCTCATTGTTTCAGCAACTGAAATCTCTCTGCGTCCGAGTCCTATCGTTCTGTACCTCCTTCCAAGCTGTTAATAAAAACTATGACGAAGTGCCACAGCGAGATATCACATCACACTCATCAGGATCGTTGCCAGCAAAAATATTTTAAAAATCAGAAAATAACTGTGGGCAAAAATGTAGAGAAATTGTAACCCTGTGCGCTGTTGGTGGGATATACTAGTAAAATGGAGCAACTACTATGGGAAACAGGATGAAGGTTCCTCAAAAAGTGAAAAACAGGACCACCACATGACCCAGCAAGTCCTCTGGGCGTAGACCCAACAGAATTGAAAGCAGGATCCTGAGGGGCCTTCGCACACCTGTGCTCCTAGAGTCAAAAAGTGAAAGCAGCCCCAGGGCCCCTCCGTCATGGAGAGGGGCAGTGGTGAGGGTGGAAATCGATCATTCTTTTCGAAAACCTGAGACACAAAGTGTGATTCATCACAAATTATTAAAGTTGCAATGCTCTTAGTTGACTAATAATAGCAACACACATTTGGAACAATAATACTTAATTACCAGGAATCATCATATGTTCATAAGAAGGAAAAACGCATGTTATCTTCTCCCTTTTACAGATATGGAAAATGAGAACACAGAGTTATTTTTTTTTTAAATATATTTCTTTATTGATTTCAGAGAGGAAGGGAGAAGGAGAGAGAGATAGAAACATCAATGATGAGAGAGAATCACTAATCGGCCGCCTCCTGCACACCCACCACTGGGGATAGAGCCCGCAACCCAGGCATGTGCCCTTGTCCGGAATCGAACCCGGGACCCATCGGTCTGCAGGCTGATGCTCTATCCACTGAGCCAAGCCGGCCAGGGCAGAGACACAGAGTTATTACTTATTAAGTAACTAAGTCATTCAATTAACTTCAGAGCTGGAAAGAGAATTTACCAGTATATATGAATCCAAGAAATTATTTTTATAATTTATTGACAGAGGGGCAAATTTCATTTTGTTTTGCTTTTCCCCTTGAGGGACTGGAATGTTCTCCTTTTCTCATTGTAAAGTAAACTAACTTGCCATGGCTCAGTGGTTGAGTGTGGACCTATGAACGAGGAGGTCACAGTTCAATTCCCAGTCGGAGCACATGCCCGTGTTGCAGGTTCAATCCCCGGGGCGGGGGGCGGGGGTGGGGGTAGGACGTGCAGGAGGCAGGCGATCCATGATTCTCTCTCATCATTGACGTTTCTATCTCTCTCTCCCTCTCCTTTCCTCTCTGAAATCAATAAAAATATATTTTTAAAAAATAATGTAAACTAACTTACTGTGTTTCTCCTTTTCCCTCGAATGTGCCCCCAGCCACTGCGGCTCCGTTCCTCTTCGTAACAGCCCGCTTGCTCTTCCCTCTTCTACTTAGAACTGACTTTCTATTTCTAGTGTCTTATTCATGTTTATGTTGCCTTTGTTGGAACCTGCCTCAAACCCTTTTCTGAAAGAGGCAGGCTGTGAATAAATGAGTGAGCGAGCGAGCGAGTGAGTGAATGGCTAGTTAGCCCGACACCCTCCTCTCTGATAGAGTGCTTTGTCTTCAGAATTTATGACACCTTACTCCAAGTTCCAAGATAGCATACTGCCCTCTGGGAAGCAGAGAAACTCTGCGTTCAGACGGGGAGGAACACTCGGAGCAGGGAGACGGACTATCACGGGTTTGCTTTACACAGGTTCTCTGTTTAATCCTCACGCAATGACGCGAGGCAGGGGCTTAGTTCCCCATTTTACAGATGGGAAAAGTGAGGCTCTGAGGAGCTCAGTAACTCACTCCGGGCTGGACAGTCAGCCTGAGGTGGAGCTTGGAACAGAACCAGCATAAAGTCCAGAGCCAAAGCCTTTTCAGACTAGACTGTTCCGTCTCCAACTCAAAATCATCTGAAGGGTTTCCCACGCTGCTACAAGATGCCAACTTGTGATCCACATAATTGGTGCAGGGAAGGGGGCAGCGGTTGAATGTGTATAAAACAAGCCCCTACCTTGCCCCGCAGCCCCCACCCCTCACCCCCACCCAAGGAAAGCTGCAGCCCAGGGGGCAGGGGAAACAGTGTAGTAAACGGCCTTTGCGTAGTAGTGGCGCGAAGCTGCAACTTGGAGCCTCCGGGTGGTTCCATCCACTGGACCTCTGCAGGCGGTCCCTGTGCTGCCCCTTTCTCCGGGATGGGGGGGAGGAGGTGGGGGTGGGGGGCCCCAGCACAGCAGCCTACCTTTCTCACAGTAGGGCTCCCCGTCTTCCATGTGGAAGAGGCTGTTCCCGAAGGGCTTCTTGCAGGCGGCACAGATGAAGCAGCTGGTGTGCCACGTCTGCCTCAGGGCGTGCATCACCTCCTGCGGGAAGGAGCTCCTTCAGGCCAGGCCGGGAGCCGGTGGAGCACCCCCCCGCCCCCGCAACAGCAGGCCCCGCCCACCGAAAGGCCTGCAGCGGGCTCCTCTCCCGCAGCGCTAGCTGGGCCGGTCTCACGTCACTGTGAGGCTTCACTGGAGGAGGTGCTGCTTGTGGCAGCACTTTTCCCAAAGGGGGGCCCAGGGTCACGGCCACGTGTGGGTGCAGGGAAGGTCGGGGGTGAAGCCATAACTTCTTTGCAGAAGCTCCACCGCCACTGGGAGCTGTGGCCCAGGGAGGTGCTCATCTCTCTCCTCAAGTTCACCGGCTCCCTAGTTCGTTGGTGGCAAACCAACTTCCTTCCAGAACCAGAGTGGAGCTGCCTCGCTGTGAGCAGCCACTTCTCGGCTTTCTCGGAGGAGGGAAGAGGTCGCTTGGGGAAAAGACAAGGCCAGAGGGAAGGATCTGCCCACTTACCCCCATGATCTTGGTGTTGCACTTGGCACAGATCGGGGCAAAGAACTGCTCATAACACCGCTCGCAGTACACGGCGCCCTGCTCCTCCACGAAGCACACGTCTGCCAGGGAGGACTTGCAGTAGGCGCAGTTGAACTCCTCTGGGTGCCAGGAGCGGCCCATGGCTACCAGGAAGGGGCCCCTGGGAAGCAGAGAACAGCACCTACTAAGGAAGCCCCAAAAGCTTGAGGCCAGATCGTTTGAGACCCCCCAACAACCCTGACTTGTGACTGTTCTAATGAAGTCATGGAAAATTCACATAAAGCTCCTTGAAAGGTGTTCCTGTTGCATCCCTTCCCCAGGGACCTGGAAGCCACTCCCACACCTGCAGCAGGGGCGGCTCACACAGGGACAGCCATTCATCTGACAAGAGCAATGAGGTGCTGACGCCGAACACTTATCAAGGCCTTCCTCTCTGCCAGGCACTAGTCAGGCACCAGTGGAGAAGAAGTTGTATCTGTTAACTCCACCCCCCAGCAATCCTACGAAGTAGGTTCTGCTATCAGACCTGCTTCTGGGTAAGGACCCCGAGGCGTGGAGAGGTGACTTGCTCCAGACCAATGGCTGGAAGGGTGGGCCCAGGACACAAACCCGGGAGTCTAGCTCCACTTCAGTAGTTAGAAGAGTGGGACGTTGAGGAAATGTTTTATATTTTCATTCTGTTTTTTCTAATTCTCCTCTGAGGATGTGTTACTTTACTTTTAAATAAAAGTGTATTTTTCATATAGACGTAAATATGCCACCCCTCAGCGCCCGCCAAACACACACCAATACTGTAGACATACTATATTCAAACCAGCACCACCCATCACCGGCTTCTAGGCTTGAAATGACTTGTCTCAGAGTGGCAGGTGCCCCGACGCCCTGAGCGCGCAGGCCTGTCCGTGGACGGCCCCAAAGCTCCCCTAAAGGAAAGCTGGCTCCCAGCCTGCACTGCCAGCAAGCGTGCAGCCAGCAGGCCCCAACCTCCCCACCCACAACTGCTGCTGCCAGGACTGGCCTGAGCCCAAGGGGGTGGTCCCGGCACAGGCACCGCTCTGGGGGCTTCACCCACTTACCTCACTGCACCCTCCAGCTCCTCAGGGAAGTGGGTGTCACCAGGGATGGAAGCCACAGCTCAGAGAAGGTCAGACCTGATGCTGACCCCTAGGGACCTGAGGCTGCCCCGCGCGCGCCTGGAGTCTCCCTATACCTGCCCTCCCGTTCCCCCGCCCACCACAGGGCTCAGAGGTGGGCCTGCAGCCGCACCCCCAGCACCCCAGCACAGGGCCACAGCGGGTCATACCTGATGACGTTGTTGCAGTGGCCACAGAGCGGAGTCCGGCTGCTGGCTGGGAAGCGCTCAGCCCTCTGGAAGGTGCCCCTGGCGAGGGGGGGCACCTGGGAACCTGGGGTGTAGGCAGAGGTCCCTCCAGGCAGGGGCTGCTTGCTGATAGAAGTGGTACTCTTGCCAGGAGCAAACTTCTGAGAGAAGCTGTCGTCTGTGGCCCAAGGGGGGCGGCTGGCAGATTCAGCAGGACCCCTGCTGTGGGCCACTGAGGGTGCAGGCTCATAGCTCGGGGCAGGCGAGGGGGTGTAGGCTGGTGCTGGGGAGAGGGAGTAGGTGGGGGCAGGCGAGGGGGTATTGGCAGGGGCAGGGGAGGGGGTGTAGGTGGGGGCAGGCGAGGGGGTGTAGGCGGGGGCAGGCGAGGGGGTGTAGGAAGTTGGGCTGTAATTGGCCCCCGGAGATGGGCTGTAGGTATTTGCAGGCACTGCAAGCCAAAAAGATCCAAAGAAAATGTGTCAGGAATTCATTTCCCCCAACTTCCTGTCCCACTCCCTCCAGGGAAGGGGCTTTAATATCGGAGCAGGACAATTCCATTTTTACCAGAGACACAGTCCTGGGCTTCTTGGGGCCCAGGTTTGAATTTGCAGCGGGAACTAAGGGAGATGGGGAGCCTTCGGAGCAGGGCCCCAGGCGCTACAAATATCTGCAGCTGCCAGGGTGGGCGCCGGGCTCCTCTCCCTCTCCAGGGAGAGGGCAGGGGGTCATCTTGGCCTCGACTGGAAGGTGCTTCCGGTGCACTCTGGCTGGTGATTTGACGTCCGAAATGCCTAGCTGCATGCGTTCGTGGAATCTGGACCTAGTCCAGGCTTTGGGACAAAGCAGATGGCAGCCAGGGCAGTAGGGTTTTCAGGGCGGGTTCAGGACGAGCTACAATTGTTTTCCTGAAAAGCATCTTGGCTTGAATTGTATTGGGGGACCTCCATCTTGGTGTGGTTAGGGTGCGGGGTAGGGGTCTGGAAGGAGTCGCTCAGGGAGCCTGGGGTGGAGATGCTGAGGAGCCGCAGCCCAGGTCCGGCTGCCTGGGCACCTGTGCTCTCCATCTTTGGTAGAAAGAGTGGGTCCCAGGGACTGGAGAGGTCACCCGGGAGGCAGTGTGAGAATGCACGGCCGCAGCTCGGGACCCCCCTCCAGTCCACTGAAAGCTAAAACCTTTTTGGGGTGACAGCACCAAGGAGCATTGCAGTTACTTGCCCAGAGCTCTCTGAGGCCTGGGCTTTCAAAACCCAGGTCTCAGCGCTCTGTGCCTCCACTGTGGACCGCTGGGCAGACCTGCGCACCAGCCAGCAGCCAGCAGCCAGCACCCTCTCCCAGTGAGGAAGGTTCCAGATGCCTTCCCTCAACTCAGTCTGCTCTTATGGAAAGAGGCCTCCTTCTCCCGCCCTGGGAAGCCAGCCAGGGCCGCCTCCTCCCCATTCCTGAGCCTGGCCTGTGGACTGTGCTGAGGGGCACTGCGCCCTTCCCTCCCCTCCACCAGGGTCCAGCCTAGAAAGTAAGGCCTTTCTCAAGGCTGAAGGCCCTGACCTGGCCTCGGACTCTCCCACCTGGTTGCCCTGGGCCACCGCGGGTGGCCTGTGGTCTGCTGTCCAACTCTGTCCCTTCTCCCAGATGACTGGCTCCTCGGAGCTGGGCATCATGGAAACCCTGCCATGGGGATGGGGAGGCCCGGCTGCGGGTAAACCCTCCACAGCCCTGCCCTGGAGCCCTCCTGGGAGCCACGCTGGCTTCATCCACAGGAATCTTCTTCCCTCTCACTGAGGAGGCAGACGGCACACAACAGGTCATCCTTGTTAGTCCTGTTTACAGTTGAGGTCACCGAGGCTCAGACAGAGCCAGTAAGTGAAAAGCAAGTCTCCAAAACTATTCTTTCTATCACCCAGGCTGCCTCTGTAAAGAACACAAGTCCATGCACTAGCTAAGATTTGGAAATGGCCCAAGTGCCCATGTAGATGAATGGATAAAAAAAGCTGTGGTATGCCCGGCCAGCGTGGCTCAGTGGTTGAGTATAGACCTATGAACTCAGAGGTCATGATTCAATTCCCAGTGAGGGCACATGCCTGGGTTGCAGGCTCAATCTCCAGTGTGGGGCGTGCAGGAGGCAGCTGATCAATGATTCTCTCTCATCACTGTTGTTTCTATCTCTCTATCCCCCTCCCTTCCTCTCTGAAATCAATAAAAAAAATATATTTTTAAAAGAAAGAAACTGACAAACGAAATAGATCCAGAGACATGGAAGCATGCAACAGACAGAATTCTCAGAGAGAAGGGTGGGACGGGGAGAAATTAACCAAAGAACTTATATGCATACTAGAGGCCCGGTGCACAAAAATTTGTGCACTCGGGGGGGAGGAGGGGTCCCTCAGCCCGGCCTGTGCCCTCTCGCAGTCTGGGACCCCTCGAGGGATGACCACCTGCTGGCTTAGGCCCGCTCCCTGGGGGATTGGGCCTAAGATGGCAATCAGACATCCCTCTGGCAGCCCAGCAGCCCTCGGGGGATGTCCACTTGCCAGTGGGGAGCAGGCCTAAACTGCAGTCGGACATCCTTAGCGCTGCTGAGGAGGCAGGAGAGGCTCCCACCACCACCGCTGTACTGGCAGCCATCAGCCTGGCTTGTGGCTGAGCAGAGCTCCTCCCATGTGAGAGCACCCTGACCACCAGAGGGCAGCTCCTACATTGAGCGTCTGCCCCCTGGTGGTCAGTGTGTGTCATAGTGACCAGTCATTCCCAGTCTTTCTGCTGTTAGGGTCAGTTTGCATATTACCCTTTTACTATATAGGATAGAGGCCTGGTGCACGGGTGGGGGCCGGCTGGTTTGCCCTGAAGGGTGTCCCGGATCAGGGTGGGGGTCCCGCTTAGGTGCCTGGCCAGCCTGGATGAGGGGATGATGGCTGTTTGCCACTGGTCACACCCCCTTCAGGGTGGGGGTCCCCACTGGGGTGCCTGGCCAGTCTGGGTGAGGGGCTGAGGGCCGTTTTCAGGCTGGTGGGTGACTGAAGCTCCCAACCTCTCCTTTTTTTCTTTTTCTTTTTATTCTGGGATTTATTTACCTTCTATGGCTGTCACTGGAACTGAGAGCCGGCTTTAGCGATAGAGAGTTAGAAACATCGATGAGAGAGATCAATCAGCTGCCTCCTGCACGCCCCACAGTGGGGATGTGCCCGCAACCAAGATACATGCCCTTGACCGGAATCGAACCTGGGACCCTTGAGTCCGCAGGTGGGTGACTGAAGCTCCCAACCTCTCCTTTTTTTCTTTTTCTTTTTATTCTGGGATTTATTTACCTTCTATGGCTGTCACTGGAACTGAGAGCCGGCTTTAGCTCTGAGGCTCGGCTCCAGCTCTGAGACCTCGGCTGCTGAAAGCAGGTATCTGGGTTTGTTTGGCTTCTATAATTGAAACACTGTTGCAGCTCCAGCTCTGAGGCCCGGCTGGCTGAAAGCAGGTTTCTGGGGTTTGTTTAGCTTCTATAATTACAACATTGTTTCTTAGAGTGCAGCTCAGAGGCCGGCAGCGGCAGGCGGGGAACCTTGGCTTCCTCCATCACTGGAGCAAGCAAGCCTCCTGTTCGCTTCAGCTGCCTGGCTGCCGGCCGCCATCTTGGTTGGCAGTTAATTTGCATTTCGCCCTGATTAGCCAATGGGAAGCGTGTCGGAGGTACGGTTAATTACCATGTTTGTCTATTATTAGATAGGATATGCATAACCCATGGACACAGACCATAGTGGGATGAAGGCCTGGGTTGGGGGTGGGAGTGGGGAGGAGTGGGGGAAAGAGGAACATCTGTAATAGTTTCAACAATAAAGATAAAATTTAAAAAATAAGAACCCAAGTCCAATTTCCATAAAATCTTGGTGTACTATGTGATTGAGGAGCAACTATCAACAGAGAGGAGGCCCCATCCTCGGCATTGAGCTCGGCCTCGGTAGCACAGTCCTACTAGGTCCAGGCTGTGTGTCCTTGGGCAAATTCCTTAACATCTCTGGGCCTGAATGTCCTTGTCTAAGAATGGCAATATGATTGTTAGTGCCTTACAGCGTTGTGATGAGGGTTAAGTAGCTGGCACCGTTATGTGTGTCACTAAATTAGTGACTCCTGGGTCTCAGCTCAGCATGACTGTCAGCTTGTCTCACAGCCTGGTCACCTGAGGGAGCCCAGCCCACACGGACTTGGTGTGGGGGCTGGAGTGGGAGACTGACACCCTAAGTCAGAGCACCTAGACCGAGTGCTCCCCATGGTGGGTTCATGGTACCGGCCTGCCTCACAGGCGGGGGTGGGGGGGTGGTGGGGGGACCGCCCCTGTGACGTGAGGTCCAAACTCCAGGTGCTGCCACCCTCCTAACAGCCCTGCATGTCTCCCAAGTGCCAGAGCAGCGTCTCAGAATGGGTCCCAGCTGCCCACTCCCTAGGCAGCAAAGCCGCCTGCCCACGGCCCTCGCCCACCTTCCTGCCCCTCCGCGACTCCTCCCCATCCCCTCCCCCGGGCCCCCGCACTCCCCCCCCCCCCCAACCCGCTCTCTAAGCCCAGACCGAGGGTCGGCGTCCGAGGCCGCTTCCTGGGAGGGGCTCGCACCCAGAGCTGGGACCTCCCTCCCTCCCTCCCTCCCTCCCG